TTCACGAACCCAGGCCCTGCGCCTCGGCCTCCCACAGATCGACCGCGTTTGAACCTAACGCCCAATGCCAACCTTCCAGGAAGCATGGCCAACATGGCTATTTCCCCTATTCGAAGTACTGCGACCTCGACGTACACCGGTTCCACCATTTCCCTCCCTATCGCTCGCCAGCAGTCCAACAACACAGATGGCCTAGGCGGAGTAGCCGTTAAGAAGGAGGGCTGGGCATCAGTCAAGGAGAGCAAAAACTTCATTCAACCCTGGAAGCAAAAATACCTAATCCTCCGCAAAGAGTCACTCGATTTTCACAAAACCGAAGGCGGCAAAGTTTCTTATACCCTTTACCTGAGAGATGTAGTTAACGTCGGACGAGTCGAAGCCGCCGGCACCATCTTCGAAATCAAACGCAAACCAGATGGCTCGTCTAACAGCCCCGGCGACGACGATGGTCAGACCAAGACCCTCCAGATCAAGGTAAAGAGTGACGATGACTTGTACGAGTGGATTGACTTTATTTATGGCGCTTGCCCAGGTATGGGCGGAGTCAGCAATCCTACTAACTTTTCCCACGCTGTACATGTTGGTTTCGATCCAAAGACCGGAGAGTTTGTCGGTTTGCCACCAGAGTGGTCGAAGCTTCTCAACTCATCGGCAATCACCAAGGAGGATTATGAACGAAACCCCCAGGCTGTCTTCGAGGTCCTCGACTTCTATACCGATCTCGCCAAACGTGCTGAGAACCCTAACCAGTACCCCAGTCTGACACCAACTCCTCCCGCCCAAGCCCAAGGCAACAAACAACTTGGGTATGGTAGCGGTAACTCTGTGGCACCTCCTCGACCTGCGCCGCCAGCTCCTTCCCAGCGCCCAGGTTACAATCCTTCTCCTGTCCAACCCAACCCCAATGCCCCGCGCCGTCCTGCCCGCCCTGACGAGCGCCCTGCCCAGCAGGATCAGCAGCAACAATATCAGCAACGCCAACAAATGCAGCAAATGGCCCCCAACTACAACATGTCTCAGGATGCTTTAAGAGAAGAGCAGCGTAAGAAACAGTTGGAGGCTCAGAGACAGCGTGAGCGTGAGATCGAGGAGCAGAACCGACGTGACTTGGATGCTTATAATGCTTCTCTCCCAAAGACCAAGGTTCCCCTTGCGCAGCAGGAGATTGGCGGTGGCTACAGCTCATCTTCTGCTCAGTCTGACCGCTTCAACCCCTCACGAGCAGCCCCTCCTGCGCCAAAGGCTTCGCAACAGCAAAGCAACCTTCGAGCACAGCGTCCTGCTCCTTCGCCCCCGACTGCCACCTCCCAGCGCCCACCTCTCGCCTCTCAAGCTAGTTCTGGTGCTATCCCTACCCAAGCCCAGCGAACCCCGAGGGCCGACAACGGCGCTGCAAATGCCCCCCGTTATGCCAACGGAAACCAGTCGCCACAGACTCGACAGCCACAGCAGCAGACACAGGCCTCACGCCTGCCAGCCCCTGTCAAGCCCCTCAATGTTGCACCCAAGCCCAGCCAAGCCCAGCAGCAAGCCGATGGCGTCAAGGCCGCCGAGGCTGCTCTTACCGCTAAGCCATCGCCCTCGGAGCGCAAGCAGGACGTCAGGATGTCCACTATGTCCGAGAGTGAGGTTATGGCTAAGCTTAAGGAAGCTGTCTCTAAGGAAGACCCCAACGTCTCCTACTCCAAGCAGAAGAAGATTGGACAGGGTGCCTCTGGATCAGTCTATGTTGCAAAGATTAAGGAGACAGCGCAGGGCATTGCCCGCGATGTTCTGCGTGCCCAGGGCCCTCGGGCCCAGGTTGCCATCAAGCAAATGGATCTCGCACATCAACCTAGAAAGGAGCTTATTGTGAACGAGATCATGGTTATGAAGGACAGCCGGCACCGCAACATTGTCAACTTCCTAGATGCTTTCTTGCGTAACAACAATGCAGAGCTATGGGTCGTTATGGAGTTTATGGAGGGCGGTGCTCTCACTGATGTGATCGACAACAACCCTTCCATCTCGGAAGAGCAGATTTCAACTATCTGCCACGAGGTATGTACAGTGTCTCAATATGGGTATGTCCACAACTAACATGTTCACAGACTTGCAGCGGACTGCAGCACTTGCATTCGCAAAACATTATTCACCGTGATATCAAGAGTGACAATGTCCTACTGGACGCTCGTGGAAACGTCAAGATTAGTAAGTGCAAGCTTAAATACAACTTGATCTCTGATTCTAACAATTTACAGCCGATTTTGGCTTCTGCGCCAAGCTTACAGAGACAAAGTCCAAGCGAGCCACCATGGTGGGAACCCCCTATTGGATGGCCCCCGAGGTTGTCAAGCAGAAAGAATACGGTCCTAAGGTCGATATCTGGTCTTTGGGCATTATGGCGATCGAAATGATAGAGTCTGAGCCTCCATACCTCAACGAAGAGCCCCTGAAGGCCCTGTACCTCATCGCAACCAATGGAACCCCTCGACTCAAGAAGCCCGAGAAACTCAGCAAAGAGCTCAAGGCTTTCTTGTCCGTCTGTCTGTGCGTTGACGTCAAGAGTCGCGCTTCAGCCGACGAGCTACTGGCTCATGATTTCTTGCGCCACGGTTGCCCGCTCAACAGTCTGGCTGATCTTTTGGCTTTCAAGAAGCATGCTAAATAAAGAGCAACAATGATATTTGAGGAGCAGACGCTCATATTCCAGTTCGGCATTTTGAGAGAGGTTTGAAAGCAAGGTGGCACATATATCCCTCTGATGTTTTTTCTCTCTTGGCGTTTTACGGGCGAAAGTTCTTTGGCGTGTCGCACTTGGCAAAGATGTTGTTCTACGCGTGTTGACTCTTCGCCTATATGGCGGCAACCAGTCCGAGAAGTCTCATTACGCGATATCGATGATGATGATATGCCATGAAAGATCGGGTAAATACCCAGTGTACTAGGAGTCGGGTGATATGACAGACTCTTTGGCACTCTTGAACAGGCTGCAGGGGGGCAGCAAGGCCTGCCCGGTCATGAAGCAATAGTGACATTTTGAGCGCAATTGGGAACTATCAGTCGCAGGAGGGTCACTCCGACAGAGCATAATAAAGACAACCTATATAGAGAAAATAAGAGTCGGGGTGCCATAACGGTGCCCCGGATTTCTGTCGCACACATAGCTCGCATAGGATGGAGTGCGGAATGATCAATGTGCTTATATGGATACATGTAACCACAGTAATATTCACTTCACCTATCGAACCGTGATACCAGGAATAGAACAATTGACACCTGCTGGCCATAAGCCGGGGACAGCGGTAAGTGCGGGCCGCTATCTGAAACAGAGTCAAGCGAGAGACGTCGCCGCCCAAACTCGGCTGGCTGATCAATTGATGAAGGGGAGGGGAGAGAGTAAGAGCTGCGTTTCGAGATACTCATGACAACCCCTGAGCCATTGATCGATATAGTACTACGGAAACTCATACGGCGTATATGTACGGTTAAGGGGCAGAAAGCCAGGGGGAGGGATGATAGGGCTTGTTTCATCGAGAGGCTAATAGATCCCCCCGACGAGGCAATCCGGTTTGTGATTGGTTCTGTCGTTGGTAAGGGGGCTCGCAAGAGGTGCGAACTGTCATCAACGCAGCCAATAAGAGTACATTTTTGCATAAGCTTGAGAGTGAAAGAGAGTTAAATTGAGAGGTTGTCGTTAGGGGAAACAGGAGGAGCCATGGAGTATAGGTCGAAGAAGCAATACTGGTACGATATTGCAGTGGCTGCCGCGAGATTAGATTGCAATTGCATTGTTTTAGCTGTCAAGTTGTGTTTCGTTTGGAAGGCGCCCAATCGAGTGTCGATACTGGGTTGATTGATTGGGAACTTTGAAGATATGGGTTGTTATTAGACGATGGTTACCCAGTAGTCACACAGTATCAAATGTAGATGAATTTCATATTAAAACACAAAGTCGCCAATGAGACATCAGTAGGTGGCTTGGCAACTCGTTGAACCCTCCTGGATAGAAATCAAACCAGTTTAACATCCGCAGGCACAAACCTAATTTGTATTCAAGATTGACAGAGTTTCCGATGCACAATGCCGCAACGCTCTCGGGTACGTGCCGACTCATGGAATGATACCCAGTTATCATGATGTCTTTATGGGGGGCATGTGGAGAAAAGATACCACCTACACACAAATGGAACAGACAAAGAAAGAAAGAAAAAATAACTACGCAACAGTTTGAATAAAGAAAATGAAATAGAAGTAAAGCTATTTGCTAGATCTTCTTAGCAAACAAACCTTGAATGATTGACTACCTACGATCCGGACTCGAGAGTTTCAGCAAACCGTTGATGTCTTCAAAAGTGGCTACTGTGGAGCTTGGCGAGAATCTTGGTACCTTGATATGTACATGTTGATGTTCGTACTCTACAGTAGCAGACAATCGATGATATGTGTTTCTGGTCCGGTTAAAGCCTCGCTACTCAGCAGCTACTGAGTGTTAAGAAATGAAAAGAAAAAGAAAAAAAGAAGAAGAAGAAAAACCTTGTTTAGATGCTTAGGATCCGAGTCTTGATAGTTTCACAGCTGTTGTACCTAGATGAATTATCCAGGTACCTACCAAAAGACTTGGCAGCCAACCAGGACTGTGACATCTCGAACTACACAACAGACGATAGCTCGATTCAGTGGCATTGAGCTCTGGAACAATTGGATTACCGCCCGTGCTGTGACCTTTTCTAGCCAATTCGTTTCTGCAAACTCCAGGATCAAATAAAGCAAAAATACACGCGGTTGTTCCGTGACGAATGGACGCGTATACATAATGTACTAGGAATGCGCACAGCCTGGCTGCAAGAAGGGAAATCTTGGTATCCATGAGGTCTACGTAGAAGCAACCTGTCATGGAGGTCCGGGTTCAGGTACGAGCAGGTACAGGACACACGCTAAGAGCCTGGTCACAGTAACAGTCTGCCCAGCCTGATCTGGTCCAGGTCAGGTCAGGGCAACTCGTTGCCTTCTTCCGTCCACTAGTAGTGCTCTGTACCTGGACTGTCTTCAAGGCCCTTCTTTCCAGTTCTCCTCTTCGCACATCGCACATCTCGACTCCTCCTGCTTCCTCCCTCACCCCCCGTTTCGTGCCCCATTCCCCATAATCGCGCGCCTCGCTCGTCTACTTCTCCAGGCCCAGTCGAAAAATCTTCCTTTTTGAACTTCTTCAATGAGGCCTGTATATTCATCATAACTTTGTTTGTGCCCTCTTTCCCCCCTCATCCCTCCCCCCGACATAGTCCCCTTATTACATTCTCTATTCTTTTTTTGCGCCCTCTCTCAAGCCGCAGGCTCGGACGACGCTCAACGACCACAACTGTCCAAAAATCCACATCAATTGCATTGCATCTTCGCTTGAGCAATAAATTGCTTCGCCACAGTCGTTGCGGTCTCTACAGCTATTTAGAATCACGACCTGTTCACGGCTAAGGCAGGCCTTGTCCTTGTCCTTCCTCTTTGCACGAGCATCCTTTGTAATACCGGCGGTTCCTGGATTTCTTCCCGTTCGCATCGCGCTCTTTCAATCCAGCCTCCCCGTTTCTGTCGAATACGCTCGAATTAGTGCTCTCCGACGCTTTCACGCCGGCATCTCCTCGTCTATCGTTCGAGGTCGTCCCAACAACAGCTACTAGACTGTTTTCCAGACGATTTCCATCTTGGGACTTGTCTTTTTCCGCCATTAGAAACGACTGAACGTATTGGTCCTTTAAGTGATCAGTCGATCAGTCCCTGCCGAGAATAATAATCAGCTATCCGGCCCGACACTTCCCTGTGTCACCGTCTCATGAGGTCGGCTAGATAATCGATAATGTCAACTTCTAGATCCGAACACTTGACTCTTGGCTACGCCTCTCAGTCTGGTAGTCAACCTCGTTCTGGTTCTCCATCAGCCAGCAACTCCCCCATCGATCCTCTGCCGCCTTCTCGATCCCCATTTGGCCTGTCCGGTGGTCTCAACCCTTCAAACAAGATGACGGGCAATTCGCGATCCGGGGCTGGTTCTCCGTCGCACGACATCCCTGGTTCTAGCCGCCTGTTCTCCAAGAGGTTCGTTTGCTCCAGAAACGTGTTTTCTTGTTCCCCTTAACTCCAGACGACAATTTCTTCTCTGTTTGTTAAAACAGCCTCCGATTACTGTACATTGCTGACACAGGCCTGTCCTACCCCACAGAGCTCGTGAGATTCAGGCTCAGGAAGGTGTATCAGGTATGCCTCTTTGGGGCGGTCCTCCTACGAGCGGTAACTCCACGCCGCTGCGCGAGAACATTCCCGAGTCCCCAACCGATGGGTTTCCCGATTTTGCTCAGCTTCCTACGCCGGACTCGATGCCTCAGACGAGGCGTGCTCGCGCAGGCACAGTGCCCTCTCGGTTCTCTCCTGGGGGCGCGGTTAACGGCATCCCTGGCATCCCTGGCTTAGCTGCCAAGACCAACAGGCCCACGCCGACTCAGAGTCCTTTCAAATCGCCTTCTCCCAATTCTGACGGACAGGAGAACCCTTCCAACAGCTCGACTCTCCTTTCACGTCTCCGCGCCGGTTCCATGCCCCAGAGGAGCCAGTTTGCCCCGATTCCTGGAACTAATTCGCCCTTTGGACCTTCGATCTTTAGCAGCTGGAACCCCACAGGCGTTGGCCGCGAGAGGGCGTCTACCCTGGCAAGCATCGCCAGTGTTGGCTCCAATGGTCCCAGCTCTCCTGCTCAATCTCAGTTCTCTAAGGAAGGAGGCGGTGAGTCAGATGTCCATATGAGAACTTTGGACTATCTTGGTCTCGCCGAGACTCCACAACCTCCCCGCGCACAGCTCGCAACTCCTTACTTGGCCAATCTCGACTTCACCAAACAGGCCAGTCGATTTCGATCTTATTCGGTTAACAACAAGGACAAATATGCCGATGATGAGGATGATTACGAAGCTGACATGCCCCTGGACCCTCAATATGTTGCGGCTCTTCAAGATCAGCTGGCTGCTACCAACGCTGCCATTCATAACCACAACCTTGCTGTTCAGGCCTTTGCCAACCAGGCCTCAGCCAACCGACCCCGTGCCCGCACTGCTGGTGTCTTGGATACCCCTGGAAGTCGATTGATGAGAACATACGTGTCTGGCAACTCCGGTCTTTCCAACCCTGTTGCCCCAGCTGAAATTCGCCTTCAAGACGACAAAGATTACGACGATCTTCCCCAAGCTGTTGCTGGAATCAACCTCGGTAGATCCAACAGCCGCAATGCAGGTCTCCTCAGCGCTGATGAACAGGGCCTTGAGGGCCCTACTAGTGCACTTTGGTTGGGCAGCATTCCTACATCCACCACTACATCGACTCTGATCGAGATGTTCAAGTCTCATGGTCCTATCCTCTCCGCCCGTGTTCTCACCCACAAGAACTGCGGCTTTGTTAACTTCGAGAGGGTTGAGAGTGCCATCTCTGCCAAAGCAAGCATGAACAGCAAGGAAATCTTCCCTGGTGCTGGTCCCATCCGCATTAACTTTGCCAAGCCACCCTCTGCGTCCAACACTCCTGGCCATGATGGAGTCTTCCCCTCTCCCAGCCCTGATCCGTTCGCCAAGGGACAGGACAGCGCACAGGGAACAAATGCTACCACGCCTGCTGGCGAGACTCCTTCTGCCTCTGCCGCTATGAACGCGGCTCCCAAAGCCCCTACTCTCCGCGAGATGACACCGGATATTCTCGATATTGTCAAGCAATTTGGTGCCACTGAGGAGGATAGGTTCAGAATCTCTCGCAACCTTCAGTCTGCCATCCAATTCAACTCATTTGTTGAGGAGATCCCACCTATTCGTGAGCCTGCTCATACCCGGGTTCACGATGCACCCAAACTCCGGGATATCCGTAAGCGGATTGACAACCAGAGCTTGTCTCAAGCTGAGATCGAGAACATTGCCGTCGATATGCTTCCGGAGATCGCCGAGCTCTCGTCCGACTATCTGGGTAACACAGTGGTGCAGAAGCTATTTGAGCACTGCTCCGACCAGCTTCGTGATGCTATGTTGTCCGAGATAGCTCCTCACTTGGCTGAAATCGGTGTTCACAAGAACGGCACTTGGGCGGCTCAGAAAATCATCGATGTCTGCAAGACCCCTGCCCAGATGTCTTTGATCGTTGAACACATTCGCCCTTGCACTATCCCGCTTTTCCTGGACCAGTACGGCAACTATGTTCTTCAGGGCTGCCTCAAGTTCGGCGCTCCCTACAATGATTTTATCTTTGAGACCATGCTTGCTCGCATGTGGGAGGTCGCCCAGGGCCGCTACGGTGCTCGTGCTATGAGAGCCTGTCTTGAAAGTCACCACTCCACCAAGGACCAGCAGCGAATGCTAGCTGCCGCCATCGCCCTAAACAGTGTCCAGTTGGCAACCAATGCTAACGGCGCCCTTCTCTTGACTTGGTTCCTGGACACCTGCACTTTCCCTCAGCGTCGAACAGTTTTGTCGCCCCAGCTTGTGCCTTACCTAGTCCATCTCTGTACCCACAAGGTTGCCTATCTCACCGTGCTGAAGGTCATCAATCAGAAGGCAGAGGCAGACGCCAGAGACGCCATTCTCCAGGCCTTGTTTTTCACGCCCAACGATCAGGTTCTGGAGGCCATTCTGAAAGATCACCAGTGCGGTGCTACTCTCATCTTCAAGGTGCTTACGACGCCCTTCTTCGATGAGTCTATCCGCAATCAGGTTGTTGAGAATGTTAAGAATGTCCTTGTCAGGATCAAAGCTCAGCCCAACCAGGGCTACAAGCGCCTGATGGATGAGGTCGGCTTGTCGACTCGCAGCGCTGGCAACAACCGTGACGCCAGCACACACGCAGAGCAACGCCAACGTCCATCTTCTAGGCAGGCAAACTCCAACGGTCACCATCCTAACTCTGCACATTCCAACAAGCCTTTCTACAATTCCATGAGCCAGCCAGCCAACCCTCCTGGATTTGACATGCCATATGGCGGCCAACGAAACGAGCCTGCAGATAATGGTGTTTCTGCATTCCCTCAGTTCAACCAGGGCATGATGTACAACACACCCGGTGGTCCTATGCCTCCCAACATGCAGCCAATGCAGTATCAGCAGATGATGAATCGCGGACCGCCGCCCATGAACTACAACTACCCTCCCATGCAGGCTGGATATGGTGGTTTCAATGGCCCTAACCCTTCCGTTGATCAGTATCGCCAGCAGAACATGCCTAACGGAAGCCCTATCCAGCCACCTGTTTCGCAGATGCCTCAGATGCCGGCTGGCCAAACCCCGTTCGCCCCTCCCGGATTCGGCATGGGAATGGGTAACTACGGCTACGGAAATATGGGAAATATGCCCAACATGGGATACATGCAACAGGAGCAGGGTAACCCTAGAAGAGGTCGCGTAAGACAACCACAGTCTCGCAATGGACAGCCAAGAAGAGGGGGCTAATCAACTATTCTCAGAGATGATCAAGACGATTGTAGCTCCGCATTGCTTCAGGAGACTCAACCCCGTTGGGCCGATCTTGACAGGTTTTCTTCCTAGTTTTCAGACAAGTTCATGAACACGACGCCATGAGGAGTTATGGTGTTCTTACTTGGGGCAATACAGCGAAGACACAAGCGTCCACAGCGGCGGCTCAGATATGGTTTGGGCCCCGTTTTGCAACTTTGGATGCCTTGTCCTTTTGCTTCCCCACCTGCTGTCTTGATTTTTTTTGTTCTTGTACTTGCGGGGCTCACCTCAGGCAGGTCTTGAAAGTGTTGATGCCGTGAAGCAAAGATTGAGGAAAAGCAGGATCACTTCTCTACGATTGAACGAACCCGAAAAAAACGAAACAAAGAAATTAGATATTACACGATTCTGTTCAGAGCGACGGTTGACTCTTGGTCTGTTGATTCTTTCTGTGGAGCTCTTTGGGACTCTGCCTGTAGTGAGTCTTTCTTATAGCGGCTTAACGTCAGTCTTGATGAAAGAGACAGTGCAATACTTTGGGGAAAGAATGTCAAGGCATTACGAATGATGCCAAGGAAATTCATCTTACAGCCTTTGCGGAGACCAGCTACACTTGTATGCCATGTCTCACAGGGGATTGTTGTATACTAAAAAAGATTTGCAAGGGCTCTTCTGACGTATCTGCGTCTTGTAGCTTTTTATGACTCGGCAATTGATGTTGTTTATGGAACTTGATGCCAGGAAGATTAGTGATGACATGAAAAGGTGTACCGCCAACCAGTCTGTGACCATCACAGATGCATTATCCGTTGAATACAGAATTAGCATTAGACGTCACATCGATCGATCTGGCTCAAACTTGAAGTGATTAAATCATGTGTTGTCTCCTATTCATTTCGGTGCCAAGTACTCGTTGCATCTACCTCTGTATCCCCCCTTCCTTCTAGATAGCTGATCCGATCAGTCTCTTTCCACGCTATGCCTCGCCTACTTCCAACTATGATGCAATAGTAATAAGAGCGCAACACACGTGGATGCTTTAGCATCCCGCTGCCTACTTCCTGCTACTGAGCTTTCGCCACAAGGGCGAAACAAGGGTTGTTTCGTGCATGATATAGAGTGTCGAAAAGGAACAAAGATGTGATAAGGGCACAAATCAAGCGGTGATGATGGGGTGTTTGATGAGATGGGGAAACGACGCTCGCAGCGAGGAGTGGTTTTGGTCGGCTTCGATGTGACAATACCCGGAAAATGAGATAGCAATAACAAGGACGAATCGATTGACAGAAAGCATCCAGAAATCTCTATAATCGTGGACCGTAATTCAAATAGCAAAATCCTCCGAACTCCGGCGATCTGTAGTCAAAAGGGTCGCGCGAAAAGAAGTTATTTAAGTAATGGTTGAGTTGTCTTGGTAGAGCTTGCATGAGTGCATGCGAAGCTTGAGAAATTCGTACAGAGGTTTCTTTTCCTCCGTGAAATGGAATGGGGCTTATGGTGTAGTTAAATAGAGTACCAATCTGGCAGAATTATTAAAGACCACAATTTACTCTTACGGAGCGACAGAGTTGGGTCTCCAAAGTGATGACTGTTGTTCAGTCAAGGTCCATGGAGCCTTCGGCGTGGTCAAAGGTGGAGGGAGGAGTAGGTTCAGTAACTGGAAGTGCCGTAGCCTTGTCGAGTGGCTCAGCAATGGCGGAGTCCTGAGGGGAGAGGATGCTTGGTATGGCGTCCTCATTTAGCATGGTAGCGGAAACGCCATTAGGTTCCCCAAGGAGCTGTCGAATATGGCTTCCCATGGCGTCCATCTGAGTAAGAAGAGCACGCAGACTGCGCTTGTCATTTTCTGTCAAATGGCCAGCGGAAACATTGCTGGCGTCTGTCTTTGTCATGAGCGACAGCACACTAGGATCAGCGGCATCCTATCGATTGCTTATTAGTAACATATACGGGGGAGTGAAATGCTGCGACTCACCAGGAGGGCTGTGACCAGTTGGTCGACGCCGTCAGACTTGCGCTCCTTGAGACTAGTCAATGTTAAAGCTAACTGCATTTCATCCACACTTCTCTGCAGCTCAGAACCTGCAAGAGGTCGGTTAGGATCTCTTCCGGCCGGGACGATTTGTACCCATCTGGGCTCATCACGACGGGGACCGTAACCAGCATGTTGACGACGTAGTCTACAACCGTTATTAGCATGCAATTGCTTGACGTTGGGTGCATATACTCACTGCTCAATAAAATCAAGAACAATGCCTTTCGCCGGTAATTTATAAGCTTGGCCGAATGAGTCGGGATCTGGCCAGCCAGAGTTGTTTGGCGTTTCAGGTTCAGACTCGTCACTCCAATCCACCTCGATATGCCCGTTGTTCTTGATACCACGTGATAGGGCTGGCACAATGGTCTGGGCTCCCTTGATTTTGCGAAAACGGTGAGCTGGTGCAAGTGGACGGACATCAGCCATAATCTCTTCCGGATGCAGAGGACACTTCCAGCTCTTGAGTACGGGTGGAACAGCAAGAGGAGGATCTAGGCAGTCAATATGCCAGTAGAAGGGGCAGACACTGCACGGAATAATAGCGCGCACATCTGTGGCAGGCTTTTGACAGCCGTGGCAGAGTACTGCTTGCCCTTCATCCCGTTGCTTGAAAAAGTCTGGCAACTCTTCATAACCATTCTTTTTCCTGAAATACTTGTCAGTACACTGAACGAATCTCGTTTAAACCACTGCTACTCACTTGGCCGTCTTGGAAGTAATGACTTCCTCGTAATCACCGTCGGCGGCTGCTTTGACGCCTTCAAAGCGGGTCTGTAATTTCTTGGGGAGGCTGAAGGCGCGAGGAATGCTCTTCTCCAGGTTGGTAAGAGCAGTAGCAAAAACACCCTTGAAGGCGGGCATGCGCGAGGGGTATCGCTTGTACAAGCACTCGTTGCAAAACCATTCGTCAGGAAGATGGTCCGAGGGTATCATTCCCACGCATTCAAAGTGGAATGACCGCGGGCATCCATCGCAGCAAACGACATCTCCGGCAGCACCGCATGCAGAGCAATCTTCATCATTATCCGATACCTAGATAAGGGGTCAAATTAGTCAAACATGCTCGTGTCCATTATATTCAGTTCAGCATGCGTTGCACTTCGCGTTTCAACCCGTCCTGGTTGCTGATTCAAATGATGGGGGCTGGTTCGGAAAAGCGGATCTTTCGGGGGCCACGAGAAATTACCCCGTTGGTGATCCTGGCCCGACGTGACAAGGCACAGCACAAATTTGGCCACCATCTGGTGAATTTTCGAGCAAAGTCCATGATGTTGGGTTTTCCGAATATGCGTGACCAGTTCAACTCAAGACGGGTTTTTGCGCGTTTGAGGGAGATGGGAATGGTGAACAAAGAAATAACATACCTGTTCCTTGGCTACACCGTTGATGGAAGGGGATTCTCCCAAGGGCCGAGGCACTCCAGCAGCAGTTCCACCTCGCTTCTTAATGGGACTAAAGTGAAGACATAATTAGCATGGTTTCGAAACGTGAATGTTAAAGGACGACGGCATGTTCTTGCCATCAGATGACGGCCGCGAGTGATGAAAAGATGAGTCCAGATGTATGGGCATCTGTGACATTCCATAAAATCAGGAGTCTCTTCAGAATCATGAGAATCACGGCATTCCGATGATGACTATGGTGCTTCTCACGATGGGGGCGATGCAAATGGTGACAAGATAATGATTTGGGTGTGACTTACGATGATTTGACACGAAGGCCAGTTCTCGGCTTCTTGGGGGGACGTAGCGTGGGCGTTGCAGCCCGTGATCCTCCGGCTGAGCTGTCCCTCTCATCGCGCTGGAAAGACCACGCAACAGGAGATACGGCAGCGTCAGCCTCATCGTGAGGTCTCTTGCTAGCCGACCGTGTGGACCTCGTCGTCGCCGTAGAGGCAGCGGCGGATTGACGCGTCTTCCTAGTCGATTTTGCGGGAGTTGTGAAGAGCTCCTCGTCGATTTCTCCTCCACGAACAGAACTTTCCTGGGCCATGACGCTGTTGGCAAACTTTTGCGCATCGCGCCTCCGGTCCCAAAATGCCTCGTCGTTATCATGACTGGCACGAGCGTCATCAGCAGGGGCAGATGATGCTTTGTTCTTTGCTGTCTTGGGCTTTGTGGGCAGATTGGGAAAGATTTGGGCAGCAGGAACCCTTCCTGGCATACTGGCGTCGGCACTCACGCTGATGGTCGCACTTGTGGGTGCATCAGCGTTAATATGATTGCTGGTGCTGGTTTTGATGTGAATGTGAGTGTTGGTGGTTGAAGTGGGAATGGTGGGTGATGATGGCTGCTGCTTAGTAGACTTGTTGGCCTTGGTCTTAGGCTTAGACTTGTTGCTGGTAGTGGTACTTGTCTTGGAGGCGACTGATTTGCGGCGGGTGGTGATTGGCCGAGGTTTTGGCGCATCACTGGAGTCGGGTTCAGGTGGTCCAGGGCGACCTGTACCCCCTCGACGAACCGGGCTGGGGCTGCCCATCATGGCCTCAGGCGACGACAGGCTGAGAGCTGATGAGAGAGATGAGTCGCTCGAAGCTGAATCTCGCCTGTTTCGCTTACGCGAGGGCGTTTGAGGTAGGTTGTCTGAAGACATTTTTCGTGGTGTGTTGCGGGTTGACTGAGCCTGTGTTTGGGCTTTGGCTTTGGCATGAGATGGATGAGAAGTAGAAGAAGAAGAAGAGTGAGTGCGAGAATGTGATGTTTTTGCCCTCTTGGCAGCTCGAGCTGGTGGTTTTTGATTGCTCTCTTCTTTCTCCTCCTCTTCATCGACAAACTGCTCCTCGGTCTCAGCATCTGTCTCAATGTCTGCAACCTCGACCACTTCCTCCACTTGATTGTGAAGCAGCAACTTGCCGTACGGTGCTGCCTTGGGTTTGTGAGGAGTGAATCTGCTGTTGGTGGTCGGAGGGATAAAATAATAGCATCCTTGGTTGTCCTTCTTGCCTTCCCGCTTCTTCTTTTCCATTTGTTTAGAAAATTTGCGCATCGTAGCCTCATCTGCCGCTTGTGTGAAGACGTCCTCAATCATGGCAATGAACTTGGGATCACTCGATTTTTCGTCGTAGAGGGTCCGCAGCGCCCACGCGGTCGGGTATCGGTAGTGTTTGAGAGCCTCGTCCACTGCAGCCTCAACTACCTTGTCTGCAAATTCTTTATCTTCGGGTTCCACAGGTTCAGCTGCGTGAATAGTCGCTTCTGCTTTGATTGCGTCTGCCTCTACCTCCTTGTCTTCGTCCTCTTCGGAATCCTTGATAACGTTTGGAATTTCCGCTTTGGGTGTTGCTGGCGTGGCTGCCTTGACTCCTTTCTCGGATCCTCTGCGCTCTTTTGTCCCCTTTGCTGTTGGCTTAGTCACAATAGAGCTCTTATGGCCGGCTGAGGAGCGCCGCGTTCGCTTTCCCAGAGATACACGACCAGATTGGCGTCGTTTCGGTCGACTCGGATCGTAATCTTCGTCGTTCTCGTCGTCAGCTGCTGCGGCTGCGTCTCTGAGGACAATGGAAACCCTCCGTGGCGGTGTGGGAGGTAGGGTGACAGGTGGAGGGGAAGAGTTTGCCGCTCTCGCCGTAATCGCAACATCCGTCTCCGCCTCCACATCCGCGTCCACGTCAACATCCACCGCTGGGTCGGTCGCAGCGACGAGCGCTGCATTTTTGGCAGCACTTGCCCCTGAAGGCCTCAATATAATTCTCTTGACGCCAGACGTCGTCTCAGGCCCCGTCTTCTTGGGTTTTGGCAGACTTCCCAAGGGGGCCATGTTCTCGACCACGCCGTAGCGCACCAATCCATCATCCTCGAAGCTCGTCTTGCTCTGCACGCTCGGCTCTAGCCAGCGCTGCATAAATGCTCTTGAGCTCTCGGTCGCCCCCTTAGACGCGTCGAGGACTCCGTTCCATTTGGTGTTTTGTGATTGCGCAGGACTAGAATAACGGGATCGTGTAGCGCGGGTATTTGACGAAATCATTGTGCTGGGCTTTGGCTTGCCTGTCCTGGAGGGGGTCGGGCAGCCTGCGTTATGCGTGCGCCTCTCTCTCTACTTGTGCCAGTTGCCGTGGAACCGGCAGCGCACCTCTCTAGGCCTATTGGAAGGATAGTGGTTAGCATGAAAGTTCAAAAGTAAATAGGGGGTAAATAATGTATTTTTTATACTTTTCTTTTGGAAAGCAGCATGAATTACTGCCGTATTATCGCGTCTTTCAAGTTGGTGGACGCGAGTTGTTGAAGAGTGAGAGAGGGTGGGTTGCTTTTCGTTGCAGGTTGAGACTCGGCTTTTGCTCTGTTCTGCTTCCTCGCCTCGACTTGAAAGACAGGACCCATACCCAGTGTCAGTGCATGCATCGGAGCTGACGGCGCGGGTCGGACAAGGAACAAGGGGGGCCAAGGCAACCCAGGACGGTGGGAAAAAAGAGTTTCTAGCACCTGGTAGACTTTTTTTCCTTCTTTATTTTGATATTCTTTGGTGGGTTATACTGTAACTGATGGCCATGTAGGTATCAACAGCAGTTGTCAGCTGTAGTAAAATCCATGGCTTAGTTTGGAGGTATGACCCAATGTTGACGGTAGCTAAGGTATCCCTTCTTTCAGTGGTTCCCGTAGCACCTGGGGCCTCGATCCTCTCCCTCCCTACCGAGCTGGCTGGCTTTACTCATTTACAAGTGTTGAACCCCGGCTACCTGCCTTCTTTTCTCCTTTCTCTTTTCCTTTTCCCTATCAAAACTTGTTTATCTTTCTTTCATTCATCTGGGTTGTGTTACTTAGTTCCTGACGGTTCAACTTTTCGCTCATTCTTATTAGAGTTATCAGCACTTTGGGTATTTTTGAGCAAGCTTCAACACTAATAGAGATGGGAGCTCTCCAGTCCTCATTCATCCATCCATAGCTCCCTCCCATAGCAACCATTGCAATCCACTCACTAGTAGTAGCTCAAGGCTACCATCCATGCTGCAGAATTTAAGGTAAAGTGGCTTGATAACTTCTTCACTGTTAGTCTGTTACCAAGCCATGTCAGACCTCTTCCATCTGCTTGAAAAAGATGTTGTTGTGTTGGGATACCAACGCATGATACGAATAGGGGTTACCTCTGGTCGCCTCTGTGATCCATAGTTGCACTTAGAAATATCTCATGGAGCCACTGTGACGGATAAATTATGAGGGGAGACAGTCTGAAAATGCTGGTTTATTGGCACTGGGCTATTGGTGCTGTGCTTGGATTACCCAACAGTGCCCTCCTGGTTGCGTTGCAAGTCACAGCAACTTACCTACCTTAGGCAGCCAAGTCCAAGTCGACGACTAATTGGTTAATGACTGACATTTGCCTGTCTGACTTTGCTCTCCACATTCTGTTACCTACCACGCACTTTCTTTTTCGCAGTCCTTGTGCAGTCAGGTGGCCTGCACCATGAGCAGACATCCCGCATTGTGATTGACGCCGAGTTGGTCACCAACCCTGGGCAGGCGAATGCACTACTGTTGGCAACAGACATGCCAGCTTGCTGCGACCATCGCCCGCCCTCGTACCATCCTGCGAGTCTTGGCCTTCCCGACGACTTCCTATCAATGGATGCATCACAAACAAGTCGCCCCAGATTTGAATCACAAATGCATTCATAGTTGATCAGTATCAGGCTGTGTGAGATTTATATATATCTTTCTGGTCTCTCTACATCACCTGATCAAAACGGCCGATGTCGGGTTTGGCGATTCCAGTCGTCCCTTTCAGCCTTCCAACAGTTTTCCTATGAAGATATTTTCCTTCATGTATATGGCCCATCCAATGGTGGTAAAGTCGTTGGCCCAAACTGCCGATATGCATTCTCCTTGACTCGCGTTTCTGGTTTCACCAGTCCTCGGATCCTTGGTCTTTCCGCACCTCTTCAACACATATTTTAATGTCGTATACCTTACTCTTCGTCACCCTCCTTCTTGGCCGCCTTCTTCTTGGGCTTGCTCTTCTTCTTGCCAGTGTTTCGGGCAATAGGCTGCTCCAGGATCTTGAGAATCTCCTCGTCCTCGATCTTCTTGTCGGTCTCGTACTTCTCAAGGTCCAGAGGGGGAGGACCACCCAGCTTGGTAATACCGTTCTTGGTAATAGCTTGACTTCATGTCAGTATCAACTGTCGTAATGTACTTTGTATTTATTACACAGAGTATTACTTACCAAAGGTTGTAAGGTATCGGGCAACAGGAGAGTTGTCCTTGTCGCCAACGAGCTCGTATTGGCGGAAGACATTTCCTCGGACACACTCGACAACACCAGACTTGGCATCACGCTCATCCTCCAGCTGTCGCAAGCTGAAGGGGAAGGTACCGAACTTCTTCTGGACCTCGTTGAGGATCTTGCGCGAAGTAGGTCGCTTCAGACCATAAGTCTGGTTGGTGCGGCGGTGAAGGGTGGCACGCTGGTCAATGGACTTGACCTTGCCGGAGCCCAGACTGACACCGACCTCAACACCCCAAACCTCACCAATCTCGGGAACACCCTCACCCTTGGAGCCCTCTGAAGGGGAAAGGACGATCTTCTTGCTGCCTTCGATCTCATTGTGATCGAAGAGCCACGAGGTGGTGCTCTCGACAATGTTAACATCGTAGGCCTTGGCAATCTTCTCCAGGAGGCTGGTGATCTTGGCCTGTGTAGGGGCTTTCTGGGCAGCAGCCTTGGCCTTCTCCTCATCGGAGCCTTGGGTCAGGAGACCAGGGGGGATCATCAATCGCAGGAGGGCCTCGTTGACGTAGTAGTTGGCAAGGACCAAATCGGCAGTGCGGCCAGTGATCTTCTCGCCGGCCTTGTCTTCGGGGGTAGCGATGACGGTGTCACAAACAATGGAACCGAAACCGTCGATTTGTGCACCAAGCTGGATCTTGATAGCCTCGCCATCTTTGATTTCGGTGCTGGCCTCAGCCTCGTCGGAGGTGAGGGGAGTGTAGGGGGTGACGTAGGACGAAGGGGAGACGGTGGTGGGGTGGGAGAAACCTTTTCGGCGGCGTTAGCTATGTCATTGGGTTCAAACTCGTGTAGGACAAACCCTTATTGATCTTCTTTCCTCGGTAGACCTTGGAGATCTCTTCCTCGAGGAGCTTGTCTCCCTGCTGGCAGATATCGACAATCTTAGCACCAGGAACGACGAGCTTGGAAACCTCAGCAAGGACCTTCTCAGAGATCTGAGCGGCGGTCTTGTACTTGGTGAGGGTATCTGGGTTGGCCAGAGTGTAATCTGAGAACTTGTGTCAGTATGCCAGAGCTCAATGCAGTGGTTTTTTATGCTGATGAGGCCATCGTGGGGCATTGCTGACGAGGGCGTTGGCAAGTGTGAATGGGTTGGTTTGCTGTTATGGCGGGGCAGCAAGTGAGTGGTGATGAAGTAACGAGGGGTAGCAGCACCTGATTGTGCAGTGCAGAGACGTAGCTGAGCTCGAGCGGGAGCTTATGGAAGCAGGAATACAGAAGCTCATGTGCATTTTGGTTCAGGACTTGACTTGAGAGAAAGACTTACCGACTTCCTTGTTCTCCGACGACATGGTGGGCAATTTTTCGGTTTGACTTGGTTGGGTTAAAAAGTGAAGAACTACAAATGCCGGGGCAATGTGGATGAAAGCTCGAGTAGGTCAGTCGCACAGAATCAGAATGGAATGGAATAGGTCAGGTAACTGAGAGCCAGTGGGTTTTACGGCTGGAATGGGAAGTGGGGATTGAGCTGGAGGGCTTCGACAGCAGGGTTTTGATGTTAGTACGTTTGGTGGAGGGGTTACTTGATCGAACTCAACTCGATACGAGAAAGAGAGAGAACCTTAAGAGTGCCGTGTGTACCTTAGTAGGCAGGTGAGAGTTTCTACCAGCACCATGACGTTCTGTCTTTATGACATATTGTTGTCTAGGTACTTATATGGGATATTATGTTTTACTTTTCGTTGCCAGGCTCATACCATTCCAAACTCTACTCTATTCTACTCTGGAGTTGTTGACTCGAGTGTAGCCACCCAGCAAATAAAGATGGATATCCGTGTCGTGTGGGCAACTACCTTTGTGCGCGCAACCAAGCGCCACATGCTCATGCATAATCCTAGATCTCGCAAAGGTCTGGTGTGTATTGCTCTATCTGTCTACCTCATGCAATTGAGGGATGAGAGTCATACATTTACGCCTCTCATTGAATCCATAGCCATCGTCTCACTTTCCCTCCACCCAAGCCTGTATCACTATGGATGACCCATCAGAGACAAAACTGTATTGTTAGTCGTTCCTAGGTGATCTTTTCATCGAGCCCTATTCCATCTTGGGCGTTCGGTCGTGCCTTGCCGGTACCTTTTGAGGCTACCCTACACTTGTGTACATGTCGATTGGTTCAGCACCAAATTGGCATCCACGATAGATGAAAGCGTCTAACAGCCGTTGATACATTTTTGGCTGGCTATCTGGGAGCTCTTTCGGTGAAATGCAATATCAGTTGGCCGTTAAGTTTCTCGGGAATTAAAGTACGTTCCTACACCAATTTTGCAACCAAGCATCAAGGCGACACAACTACAGACCACCCGCAATGATTGCCCATTCCTATGAAAAGAGTTTGCGTAGTAGTAGAGAAGTAATCAACAAGCAATATGATAAAGTTAAAATGAGTATATCTAGCTAGAAGAGTCACTCTTGAAGATCTTTTTACAACTTCGAATCGTTGTTGGTTGAGGTATACACGCCACAAATGCTTTATTCTCATGTGGCGCAGTCGGTGACAAGTACATCTGACTAGCAGTGCAAGTGGTGGAACGCCATGTATATGCTACCAGCCACAGAGTGAGTAGTTGCAGCTTCCCGTCGCGGTATGGCAGAATCCTCCCAGCCTACTGTTACAGCTGAACTGAACAAATCCTCAAGCCTCGCGCCTTTTCTACCTGAGGTAGACTTCCGCCCAACAACGTCGAATCCACCCGCCAGAGATAACGTTCCCTAACGAAACTGCCCACGTACATCCATCTATAGCCGCGTCGCGAATTGAGTACAATCTATACACATTCTGCTATTTCCTTTCCGACGCGGCCCTTCCGCTGCGCCGCGACCCGCGACCGCGATCCACGCCCCGTAAACCATCTAAATATGGCTGCTCAGCCGTCCGCGTCCTCGTCAACGGCGCCGGCTACGGGCCCGGCATCTGCAGCAGGTTCTGAGAAAGATGCATACTCATCAACCCCCCCAAGCGATATACCAGTACGCACAAAGGAGTCATTTGATAAGCTGATGGTGGAGCGTTTCATCACCCGTGATGCCATCGCCGCCGCCGCGCTCGGTGGTCAACTCGACCAGACCCGTAAAATAATGAGCGACACGCGCGAAAAGATCCAGGAATATCGCCAGGTTCGCACAGACTACCGCCAATGGTTCCCACCATCGAGACTCTATGGCGAGGGCTACAATGGCTTCGGTAACGGATACACAGAGAATCAGGGACCATCGCGCATTGTCTATCCCTCCCAGAAATCCCGACCTGGACAACGAACAACACCCCCTCTCAAGTACAAGCGCAAGGATATGCTCAAACAAGCCGAGCAGCACGAAGAGCTGGTGCCTTTGCGTTTGGAAGTTGAATGGGACAAGATCAAGTTGCGCGACACATTTACGTGGAACCTACACGAGAGACTCCTCCATGTCGAGTTGTTCGCGGCACAGCTCGTAGAAGATATGGGGTTAAAGCTACCTGCGTCGCAACCTGTATACGAGCAGGTAGTGCACCAGATGCGCGAGCAGCTTAATGATTTTTACCCCCTGGTCTACTCCGAGGACGATGCGCTCGACCCAGAACTTCCATACTCAGCCTACAAAAACGATGAGATGCGAGTTCTTATCAAGTTGAATATCACAATCGGTCAGCATACTCTTGTTGATCAATTCGAATGGGAAATCAACAACCCTTCAAACTCACCAGAAGACTTTGCAGCTAATATGGCGCGGGACCTTTCTCTATCAGGAGAGTTCACAACCGCCATTGCGCACTGCATTCGAGAGCAGACTCAACTCTTTACTCGGAGTTTGTACAGTGTCGGCCATCCCTTTGATGGACGGCCGATTGAGGACCCCGATCTTGTTGGCGCATTCCTTCAAACGCCCCTCCCCAACGTCTTCCGACCTCAACAACAGGCCAAGGACTATGCACCATATCTATACGAGCTTAGCGAGGCCGACCTGGAAAGGAACGAGACGATATTTTCCCGCGAGCAGAGACGCCAGAAGCGATCTATCAATCGACGAGGAGGTCCACAGTTGCCTGATCTTAGAGAGAGGCAAAGAACTATCAGGACGCTCGTTGTCTCATCTGTGTTGCCTGGCGCTGCAACCACCATCGAAGAGAGTCGATTGTACAAGAGAGCTGCCGGCCCTAGAACGAAGCGCCCTATTCGGGATGGGGATCTTTCTGAATCCGACGACAGCGAAGACTCAGCTCCCGATTCCCCTGCCCCCTCACAAATCACTGGCGGCACTGCTCGAACACGTGGTATGCGGGGTGCTGCATCGGCTGCCCAGCAGAGAATGGCCAACCTTGGTCGATCTGAAACCCCTGAGGCTAGTGCAATCGCACATCACCACGAGACTAGAACTTCCCGCCGATTTAGAGAAGAAACAGAAGAGCCTTCACAGATGATTGTGACTCTCAAGCTTAGCCATGATAAGCTGAGACGGCTGATGAACCGCGACTATTCAGACCTAACAGCATCGTCCCACGCACCTGTAGCCTTCCCGCGAGCCCCCAGCGCTTCTGCTCCCTCGAAATCAATGCCCCCACCGCCTTCAACACCATCTAGTGTGCCCCCCCATGCGTCGATGACGCCCTCTTCATCGCTCCCTCCAGGTCAGATAGGTCGACTGCCGGCCCCTCCAACAATACCCGGACAGTCTGCCTCTATCCCACAAGTAGGTCACCAAACCTAACCTTTCAATAAAACGAATGTCAAAGTTCGTACTGACAGAGTTTCTTCCTCAGCCCCCACCCCCTGAGTGGCTTGTCAATGCCCTCAAGGAATTAGAGAAGACATACAACCGCGGCGACAGGTTTGAAGCCATGATGAAGTACTCTTATCTTGACCCCGTAACGGAGCTGCCTATTCAGGGTCAACCACTTCCCGAGGGTGTCAAATATGCCTGGCTGCCGCGCATCCGTTGTTTGGATTGTACAAACAAGCTTTATACACCTGGCCCTGATATGACGGTTCGGAAATTCGAGGCTCATCTCGAATTCTCAGGCCACAAGAACGCGGTTGCCAAGCGCGTGGCAAGGGAGGCCAACCCCTGAGCTTGCTACTTACCTAGGCGTTTCTCAAGTGGGAATACCATCCCAGGAGTTGCGTGAATATTTTCTCATGGGTGGGCTGTATCTTATTAGACGACAAAGTGGCGTTGCTTTCTTTTCTTCCTTCTGGTGCAGATCATGCTTTTTCTGAAAAGACAGAGTTACAGGTGTTATTAATCGTTTTTTTGTACATAAAACCTCAAGCTGAGAGGGAGAATGAGATGATAGGGTATGGATGCAATGAGCAAATGTCTCTTCCTCCTAATAGGTTGGTATGTCCGTTTGGAGTCTTGAAACGACAAGGAAGAATTAGGCGCTGTGCAGCTGGGTTAGGATAGGGAGTGAAATGTCAACAGTGAAGCGCTTGCTTTGATACTTTCTGTTTATAAATGACCCGACGTTTATTAATCTGATATCATTACAACATGCATGAGCACAAGCGAGACCATAAGCACGTCAAGCACATTAAGCACGTCAAAACAACATAGTGCAATTGGTAGTCCCGGAAGAGAGGGTATACGAAAGTATAAATACAGACACAAACCAAAGACTCCTGCCCAACGATCATGGAAGTCAAATTGCCCTCCGCTTTCTCAAGCCTATATAACAAAAAGGAGAACACCACGAGCACCTCTGCAAAAACGGGCATCATTCCAAAACATTGATATACCATATTTTCAACTTGGCCCTTTTTCGCACTAGTGATCACTCCTCGGCATCAACGTCCATATCTTCTGTGCTCTTGTCCCGTCGTGATCTTGTTGCCCTTGTTGGTCGCTTCGCCTCATTGCTGACACTGGCCTTGGCAACTGGCCTGGCGGCAGCTTTGCTCTTTGGTGTAGCCGCGGAGCCACGTCCATTGGATTTGGGTTGTTCAGGCTCGTCTTCCTCCGGCGCTGGTGGATCTTCGTTATTGGATTCGTTGTCATTGTCGGCTGTTTCCTCAGTCTCAGGGGCATCCGACAGCTCTGACTCCTCACCGCCGGAGCCAGACTCACTTTCCTTGTCATCACCGTAATCCCACTCAGCAACACCCTCCAGCATTTCCTCCTCGTCCTCCTCATCCTCCCGCTCAGTGTAGATAGACACCTTGTGAGCTCGACCACTACGACGGCGCTCTGAAGGTGGCGGAGAATCCTTGACTGGCCTGGGCTTTTTAGATTTTGTGGCTTTCTTTGCCTTGGGCGTCCTGGGCTCTCGCTTCTCTCTGATCACCGTTTTGATTTGAGTTCTCGCTCTCTTTGATGG